GAGCTTGGATGTGAACTGGGGTCTTCCGGCTCCAAGCCCAGCTCTGCCCGGCACCCTGCCAAGGGGCTTGCGCTTCTAATTGGATTCGGAGTCACGCATACAGTCATTTTTCAGATCAGGAATGACACACCACATTAGGCACGCTGCTCCTTCTCTGAAAGATGAGCTCCACTCGCATGCAGAACTACGGAAAATAACCCGTCCTTGCCCTCTCTCCCTTCCTACTTCTCCTGGGGCGTCCTCAGTGTCTACCTCTCCATTAACTCAGCCCTCTTTCCCACACAGGGGTCCCCCTGCAAACCAGACGAACAGGGCCAAGCGACAAAGTGAATTACATCCCTCTGAGCTATTTGGCCTTGTTTTCCTTGGGCCCCAGCCTGACTTTCTGACGCCCTGGGAATGAGGCGAGGGCACCTGCTTCTTTGCAAAAAGACGGCAGATGGCAGGGCCAGGCGTTTTGTGGTTGTGGGGGGGCAGCTCCGTCTTGGATCTGGCTCACTAAAAGCTGGATGGGAGGAGCCAATGGCAACGTCTTAGCGCAGGGCAGCGCCTCAGAGAACACACAGGTGTTGGAAGACCGAGCTCAGGAGGGTTAGGGGAGGTAGCAGAGAGAATACATCAACTCTCTCAGGCCCTAGCACAAAAATCACGGTGGGATCGTGAGGCAAGAGCTTTGTAAAAAGATTGGGTTGCGTTTAAGATGAGGACATCTAGGAAAAAGGTGAGAAGTGCCATAATTAGTAATAGAAAATGAGCATAAAAAATGCAGTGGCTAAATGCATGCAAAATGATAATCATGCTTAGCTATGGTAGAGTGTGATTTTAAAAGGAGTCCTTTTAAATAACCAGCAAGTTTTTATTGAACACCTGTCATGTACATGTCCTTCAGCGCTGTTATGTTTGCATTGTCAATCTGGCTGGAAAAAAATCACTGAATTATTAGAGGTCTGGCTGCAGGCCCTGCTGGGAGAGAGCAGAGAACCAGAGGAGGTCGTACAGAGGCCCCAGCTTTGGTTTTGGTTCTAGGACCTGTGACTTTTCAGGGAAGAAAACACACACAAGGAGAATAGCAATCTTGTGAGACTTAGAGTATTTGGAACAAGTATGAGTGACTCTCCAAATCATGCAGTAGAGTGTAGGAACTGTCCATTTCTTCATTTTCTTTGAATTAAAATTAAAAATTTATTAAATTTAATTGTTTAAACTTTAATTACAATTACAATTAAACATGGCTCGGACCCCCTCCTCCATCTCCATCTGGAGATCAGTTTGTTCTAAGCTCTCACCGGTGTGTTCCCCGCCCTCGCCCCGCCCCAATGCCAGCACAGGCACCACCACCACCACCACCACCGTCGGCGGAGGCTGAGCAACAGTCCAGGAGGTCTAGCTGGTGCCCAGACAAGAGGCCAGGCTTTTGGTCTTCACTCTCTGAGCTTTCTGCCCACACCCTGATGCTCCATGTCTGCGCGCAGAGGTCTGCGGGGAGCTTGCGGATGGCAAGCCGGGTCAATCTCCAGAAAGCACCATGGAACACCAAGTCCCTCTGGGCTTTGATGCTGTCACCAGATGGCCTGAGCATCCAGTCCTCACTCAACCCATGGGCTGCACCCGCTTCTTCTTCTTCTCAACTGCCTCACATCCACTCCCCACTCTCCTCTCTCAGCCTCCCCTCTTCAGTGAGATCAGGCCTCCCTAAAAGACAAGATAAAGGCATGCGTGGGTGGCTCAGCTGGTTAAGCACCTGCTTTCAGCTCAGGTCATGATCCCAGGGTCCTAGGATAGAGCCCTGCATCCAGCCCCCACATTGGGCTCCCTGCTCAGCAGAGAGCCTGATTCTCCCTCTCCCTCTGCCACTCCGCCTGCTTGTGCTCTCGTTCTGTCAAATAAATAAAATCTTAAGAAAAAAAAAAGATGAGATAAAGTGTTCCAGTGGCTTCCATTTTCTGCTTGGAGGATGGATCAGAGAGAAGTATAAAAGGCCTCACTAACTTCTTGAGGTTAGAGGGAGGAGCAGGAAGAAGAAAAATGTTGAGAACTCAATGCAAATTAATATCTCAATAAATCATCCTGCTACAGATTGTCATGGAATGTATAGGCCAGGCTGAGAGGGAGCCGAGCAGAGGGAGTAAATACTTGGAATCTCCATTCTGCTTCTTGCTACCCATGTGGCCTCATCTTGTGGCTTCCTCATAAGTGAAAGGAAGATGCACCCGCCCTGCAGTGTTGCCTTGAGGATCAGATGAGTCAATATTTACACAGCAGTCGGCACAATGGAGACACACCTGAGCAGGCATTGTTAGCTGTTAGTAGTACATCTCTAGTTCCACTGATGCAAATGCAGACCCTCCCTCAAAGCACACTTCCAGTGTGTTAGCACGCCAGCATGTCTCCCTCCCACAGACAGTATGAGAGGAGAAAAGGAAGAAGGTGTGGCTTTGGACCTTTGCCTGTCTAGGTGGCTGATCCTCCTGGGAGAAGGGAATAGTCTAGCTGTGATGATGTGCCCGATAGCAGGATTTCAGGCATTTTATGCAAAGGTCAGTGGGCTGTGCTCTTGGCAGATGGAGCTCGTCACCATCAGCGGTGTGCATTTCGCCAGTGGAAAGAGCACGGGGCAGAAGTCTTCCCCAACTCTCTAGTTGGCTTCCTCTCTCAACTCATTAAGGGCCATTTCCTCAGCGATGCCCTCTCTGCCCCCTGAGCTCCATTAGCTCCTCCCTGCCATTCTTTGACTTTCTTGCTCTTATTTTTAGCCTTTATTCAGTTTTTAGTGATGGATACTTTGTGTGTTTGTTTAGTGACTTCTCTCCCAGTAGATTATATGTAGCTCTGGAGGGCAGGGATTAAGTGTGTTTTATTGACCAAGTACAATCACTTAACTTCAAGTTTTTAATATGTTAAATGAGGATAGTTAATACTGCTTTTGCCTACCTCACTGAGCTGTGAAATTAATAAAGATAATAATGTGAAACTTCCTCATAAATCATAAAACATGATGCAAATGTTAACTATGCTCAGTGCCACGTGTATTTGAATGCACATCATGAGCTGAACACTTGTGCAATGGGTTCCTAGCCAGATGAGTATTTTGTTAAATGAGATAATAAAGGAAAGTGCTTGGAACAGGATGCACCCCGTGACAGCTCTCATTGTCAGAAGTCAAAGATGGCAGCCCCAACCTCTAAAAATATCATATTCTCTTAGTCCATCTGTAGTAGGCGTGAAATAGTTAACTAGGAGCATGCCCTGGGGTGGAGATGTGTAAACATGTATGACAGTGAATAACCTGGAGCCAGTCAATTCTGTACACTTCGGTGGGGGAGGGGGCTCACAAGTTAGTTCTCAACCAAGATGTTCCTTCCCCCTCAAGAGGCAAGGACACTGAGTATGACATCTTCTCCTCCCCTTTGCAGAGAGATTACAGAGGGAGGGAAGACATTTCCAGAAAAATGGAGGCTGCTACCAGCGTTTCACAGAGAGTGAAGGGGGAGGAGCATGAACCTCCTTAAACTCAAAGGCTCCACAGATATGGATGGCATCACACTGGGAACAGGGCGCGCAGGAGGGATGGAGTTGACCGGTACACTAGCCCTCACCTGGGGTTCCTCTGCTTTGGACAGACCAGCCAGGAGATGAGAAACAATCCATTCTGATGGCCAGTGTGTGACAGGAATCACTGAGGTTGGGAACCCAAAGATCAAACAGTGTTACACCAGAAAGATTAAAGAAATAGATTGGATTGGACCAGAACAGATACGTTTTCCTTCACTGGGTGGTTCTGAGGTTTTTTCCTATTTCTTAGGGAAGAAGGAGTAGGAATTGACATCACAACTACACTGGGTATTCCTTGCTGTTTTGGTGTGATTATAATTTTGGTTTAATTGACTATTTAGTAATCTATGTAGAGTTTGTTTGCACCTTATGGAATCCCTGGCTCTCCGAGGAACCCCAGATTCCCTATTGTTGGCAGAGAGCCCAGATTTTCCCCAGACCCTCGGCACTAGGCTTTATTTACCGTGTTTTTATATAGCTGGGACTGCTCTAATGAAACACAGGTGAGCAGAGCACCCAGGAGAGGTAAGGTAACAGGAGGAGAGAGGATGTGTAAAGGGTCAAAGAGAATAGAAATAGGCCCTTGGATGGGGGCAAGAAGGTGGACCAGACACAGGATCCACAAGGAGACAAAGCCCCAGTGCAGATGCATGTCAAGAGGCATAAGCAAAGACCAAGGCTGAGAAAGTGGGATGAAGGAAGGTCACACACACACACACACACACACACACACAGGTGAGATTTAGGAGGAGGAAGGGTACAGATCTGTAAGAAATTGTTTTCTTCCCCCAATCTTAATTTGTTAAATGACTCCCACCAGCATAATTGTTTTGTCTTAGCCCAAAAAGATTGGGGTTAATTTTACTTTATCTGTCATGAGACGATGGCCACAGAGAGAACTTCTCTCAAGCCAGATACTCTAGGTGTCCACCCCGTTCCCCCTCCATTTTTTCCAGCCATGAGCCAGCTGGTGTGAGAGATGTGCTGTGAGGGAGGTAAATGCCGGGCACCCCGTGGGCGTCTGAGGCAGAATCCAGGGCTGGGGGAGTCAGGGAAGGCCCTTGGAACCCTGTTATCGCTGTGGAGGGAGAACCCCAGAGCAGGCTGCCTTTGGGGCTGGGGACAGAGAGCAGGCGGGCACTCTGTGCTCTGGGGCCTGGAGGGCCTGGGGCAGGGTGAGCCTAGAGTGAATGGGGAGGCTGAGGGTGAGGAAGGTGAATGCCTCCAACTGCACCATTTTTTTACCCAAGGGCAGACTCTGATCTCTGGGAACTGGCAGAAGAGCTGCTCAAAGAAAAGTCACCACTTGACCTATCCTCCTTAGTCCTGGAGGGGAGCACTCACACCCTCATGACGCACTCCACGACCCTGCGAAGGTAAATATGAGGCAAGAGGCAGGAAGGAAAACAGGGTATTAAAGCAGATGCCTGAGAGCGAAAGCAGAGGCTGAGAGTGTGAGCACAAAGTCGGTGGCGTGGGAGGTGGAGGCGTGTGTGTCCTGCTGAGGAGACACAGGGGCCCTTTGTGCGGGGCCTGAGCCGCCTCCTATGTCCCTGCTGCCGGCTCCTGGGGAACATGCCGGGGCTCCTCCTCTCCACGCTGCTGGGCGCTGCTCTGGCGCAGGTAAGCTCCCGCTCCTCCTGCTTCCCCTCGGGAGGCTGCGGCGGTTCCGTATTTCTTCAGGCCAGAAATGAAAAAGGAAGAAGACGACGGGGGAGGCGGGGGTGGGGGTGTGTGTGTGTGTGTGTGGGGTAAATTCTTTGTGGAAAGACTTCATACCCAACAGGGAGCCATTTTCCTCTCCAAAGAAAGTTGGGTTTTAGTTTATTAGCTTCAGGAAAGAAGTGGAAAACATTTCTCCCTCTCAGGTAATGGCACTAAATCCTACTTTCGATATGTTTGAACAGCTCTCAGACTGGAATAATGTGTATTTTTGAGTGGACTGGGACACACACCACGAAACTGGGAGGCGCAGGCCTGCCTGGTGCGGGCGTGGTGAACGGTGCCTCTGAGCCCCACACTGGGGCTCAGCTTTCCATGGCTGTGTGCAAAACGTGCGGACAGCCACTGGAAAAATTGATTCTGACAACCCTCTTCAGTTAAGCCTGTTCTTGTTGGAGAGGAGCACTTCGGATACACATTTATATTTTTAAAACATTCTGTTGCTTTGTCTTTTCTCAAATCATGTGTTTCTCACTTTTCACGAAAGGGAATCAAGTCCATGAAGACTTTGAAATAGTTCAAGCAACAGACCAAAGGGAAGTTTAATTTAATAGGAGCAATTCATTGTCTTAATATTTTTTACCAAGAAGCTGAAAAGAGGGTGACTTATTTATGGATTTATTTACACGGTGGAGGTTATTGCTTGCACAGAGGATGGAGCTTTTGAAACCTTCTGGTGATTTGGAAAACCTGGGACGGGTCTTTGAGTTAACAGTTGATTAGGCCAGTAAATTGTATTTTAGGAAACAAGAGATGAAATATGTTGTATTTTATACGGAGAGATCTAAGATTATAAAAGAATCCTAATAAGAATGCTGGTGGTACAGTTTATTTCCACTGTTATGTGGAGGGCACATTTCCCCAGCAGAAGTGAGATGGGGCTACCTATCTCCCAGTCCACCCTTCTTGAGAAAAGGCCTATCATTGTTGTGAATGGAAAGTCTACAAGGTATTCCCAAACAGCAAATATTCCATTATAGAGAGATGTGTCCACAATTAAAACAAACGAACATAAAAAGGTGCTAAAATACAGCAACAAGAAAGTATTATTTTGCTTACTCTTGCCATTATGAATTTTTGGGAAGAATACCTACCATTCGTTGAACATCTGCCACATGCCAAGCACTGTGCTAGGTACTTTAGTTATTATCTTAATCCTCAAAATAACCTTATAAGGTGGATATTAATAATCCCATTTTACAGAGGAGGATTGAGGCTCGAAGATCAAATAAATGATAGAAAGTCATCGAAGATCACTCTGTATGTAGAGAGAGCTATACCAAAGCTCAGCTCTGGTTTCAAAACCCTTTCTGCTACACCAAAAGAGCCTGTTGGGTGTACCAAAAGAATTCTGTTCCATTTCTTTTCTGTTGCACCAAAAGAGTCTGCTGACTGTTTTGTTGTTCTGAGATTTTGACTTTGAAAACAGTTAAAATGTCTGAAGAAAAAAGAAATATATATATGTATATATATATCTCTTCATAGTTTCCCACTATTTGCCATTTCTGGGACTCTTCATTTCTTTCTGTATTTCTGAATTACTATCTCTTGTAATTTTCCTTTAGACTGAAGATCTTCCTTTAATATTTCTTGTGAGGCAGGTATGCCAGCAATAACTTCTCTCAGTTTTTGTTTAACTGGAAATGGCTTTAATTTCACCTTCTCTTTTGAAAGACAGTTTCACTGGAGATAGAATACCGGCTTGACAGTCCCCTTCCCCAGCCCCTTTCAGCACTGGGTCTTGTTCTCCTCTTCCTCCTTTTTTTTTTTTTTTTTAAAGACTTAATTTTTTTTTTAGAGTAGCTTTAAGATCACAACAAGTTTGAGGGGTACCTGGGTGTTGCAGTGGCTAAGCATCTAACTCTTGGTTTCTGCTTAGGTCATGATGTCAGGGTCATGAGACCGAGCCCTGTATTGGGCTCTGTGCTCAGCATGGAGTCTGCTTGAGATTCTCTCTCCCTCTCCTTCTGTCCCTCCCACTTGTGCTCTATCTCTCCCAAATAAGTAAACAAATCTTAAAAAAAAATTACAGCAAATTTGAGAGGAAGGTACAGAGATTTCCGGTATACCACCTGCTCGTACACATTCATAGCTTCCCCATTAACATCATCCACCAGAATGGTACATTTGTTACAACTGATGAACCTACACTGACACATTATTACCTAGTCCATAGTTTACCTTGGGGTTCACTTTTGGTGATGTACATCCTATGAGTTTGGATAAATGTATAATGACATATATCCACCATTATAGTATCATAGAGTATTTTTGATGCCCTAAAAATCCTCTGTGTGCCACCTGTTTACCCCTTCCTTCAACACCTGGCAGCTACTGATTTTGTTACTGTCTCCATAGTTTTGCCCTTTTCCAGAATGTCATGTAGTTGGAATCAAACAATATGTAGACTTTTCAGATTGGCTTCTTTCGCTTAGTAATACGTGTGTCTTTTCATGGATTGATAGCTCATTTCTTTTTAGCACTGAATAATATTCTATTGTCTGGCTATATCTGAGGCACCTACTGAAGAACACTGTGGTCTCCTTTTGATGGGAAGTCAGATCTCATTCTTTTTGTTATTCTCTTGTAGGTAATGCTTTTTTTTTTTTTTTCTCACTTTGCTTTCAAAGTTTTCTCTTTATCTTTGGTTTTCAACAGTGCTACCCTGTGGCCTCAGAGATTATATAGAAATGTTCCAAGACTGGAAAGAGAAACAGGTGTCCCCAGGTGGGCAGTTTTAAGAGTAGGCATTTCCTTAAGAGGCAGCCGTATGAGGAAAAGCATGGAGGAGGAAACTGACCTGGGTCCAGTAAGCAGCAAGGTGCAGAGGAGAGTGCATTGAGGGTGAAGTCTGGAGAGGAAGGCATAAACCAGCACAGGCTCTAGACAGCATGCTTATAATTTCGGACTGCACAGTGTAACCAGTAGGGGACCACTCATGGGCTTTAAGGAGAGGAGTAGTAGAATCAGATATGTTTTTTAAAGAGATCCCTCCAGCAGCAATGTGGCAGATTAATTTGGGAAGTCATTCTCGAGGAAGGAACGTGTCGCAATCATACTCAGTAGCAGTGCAAACGGCGAAACACCGACTAGTTCTAGGAATATGAGGACACTAAGCATTAGTCACTGAATGGCTATCTGGGAGGTGAGGAAGGTACTTTAGTTATTATCTTAATTATCTCAATTGGAGGTGAGGAAGAGGAAAATGACCTGGATGACTCCTGGCTTCCTAACTCCAAACTTGGAAGAAGCTGTCCAAAGGGGCAGAGGTGGGTGAGGGATGATGAGTTTGGGGAAATGAGCTTTTCCCACAGGACATTCTACTGGCGATGTCCAGTAGGTAGTGAGCTATATGGCTCTAGAGCTCAGTGGAGAAATCCTAGAGGAAAATTTAGTTTTGAAGCTTGCACAAGGTGGAAATGGAAGGCAAAGGAGTGGACGAGATTGCTAAGAGACAGTGTGCAGAGGGCGAAAAGCAATACATTAAGGTCACGAAACACCAATTAGTCCAAATGTAAGTCATATTTGGGGTAACAGGAGTCTGCTTAACCGACTGAGCCACCCAGGCGGCCCCTGCCTCTCTCCTTTTTAAGGATTCTTATGGTTCCACTGGGCCCACCTGGTTAATCCAGGATAATCTCATCTCAAGATTTTTAACTGCATCTGCAAAATCCCCTTTGCTTTGTAAGGTAACATGTTAATAAGGTTCCAGGGAATGGAACACAGATATTTTTGAAGGGAGAATTACTATGCCTATTACAGGTGGATAATAACTGCTCCCCACTATTCTTATGAAGGTTCAGTGATGTAATCATATAAGGCACTTGGCACATAGGAGGTCCCATGTTCTTTCATTCAATACGTTTTATTACAGGCGATAAGACAGACACTCAGCAAAGAACTTGCCCTTCAAGAAGCTCACATTCTTGATGCATGCTTCAGAAAATAAACAAGTAGAACATATAGCAATAAGATAGGTGGTAAGAACGTCTATGGGGAAAAGGCTGGGGCAGGGTGCTGTTTTATAAAGGGTGGTCAAGAAGGGACTCACTGATAAATGTGAGCACAGACCCAAGCAAGTGAAAGAGTGAGGGTCGAAGGTACCTGCAGGCTTGGAGTGTTCAAAGAAGGAGGTGGGTGTGGTGTGGAGGGAAGCAAGCCAGTGGGTGTGCAGGCCTTAGAGGGTAGTTTGGCTTTTTTTTTTTTTTTTTTAAGATTTTATTTATTTATTTGAGAGAGAGAGAGAGAGAGGGTGAGCAAGCATGAGCAGGGGGGTGGGGCAGAGGGAGAGGGAGAAGCAGACTCCCCACTGAGGAGGGAGCCTGATGCGAGACTCAATCCTAGGAAACTGGGATCATGACCTGAGCTGAAGGCAGACCCTTAACCGACTGAGCCTGGTAGTTTGGCTTTTACACTGAAATGGGAAGCCATGAGGAAGCCACCTCTTCTGAGGAAGGAGTGACAGGAATTAAAGTATGATTGTAAAAAGATATACATAGTTAATGTATACCATTTGATAAGCTCTGGGATAAGTACATACTCATAAAACCGTCACCACTACCCAAGCCATAAACATATCCATCACCCCTCAAAGTTTCCTCCTGTCCCCTTTATTATTCTTTGTGTGTGGTAAGAACAATTAACCTAAGGTCTACTCTCTGAGCAAAATTTAAGTGTATAATAGTATTGTTAGCTACGGGGGCTGTAGCTTATTTTATTTTAACCATTCTGCCGGGTGGAGGACATAGAGGACAAAGAGGGAAGCAAGGAGAACCTTTAGGAGACTATTATAATCCTCTAAGGTGAGAAATAATAGTGGCTTGGATCACTAGCATAGCAGTGGGGGTGCTAAGAAATGATTAGAGTGGGTACATTTTAAAGATATCACCAACAGGATTTACTGATGGGGTGGGATGTGAAATGTGACAGAAGAATCAAGGGGAACCGCACCCCAAGGTATTCTGAAAAAATGAAATTGGCGGGTGCTCAAGCGGGGGTGTGCGTGGAAGAGTAGATGGGGAGGGAAACTTGGGAGATTGTTTTGGTCACGTTGAGCTTGCTAAGCCTATCAGATCTCCACAGGGAGATCTGGCAGGTTGCATCGGAGTCCAGAAGGGAGATGTGGCAGGAGATACGAGATACAGTGAGGGGAGAGCCTTGGGAGGTATTCATTCACCACAGGGGGCTCCAGTTAGGGTTGAAGAGCGTGCAAAGAACCCAGCAAAGCACACGGAGAAAGAGCCATTAGCGAGTAGAGAGGAGGAAGAAAGTGATGTGCTGGAAGCTGAGTGAAGAAAGGTTCAAGGAAAGATGGATGGGGTCAGATACTGATAAATATTATCACAACTCACCTCACTGTATCCTACCCGTTTAGGGGAAGGCTTCTATTTCTAGCAATCTCTGAAATTAGTTTGAGTAATCTAATGGCACCTGTGTTACCCACTGAAGTTCTGCTGCAGGGCGCAGGGCGGCGGGCCATTGGCCAGGGCGCCGGAAGGAAGGCCCGGAGAGGAACCGGAAGTGCAGCCTCGCAGACAGTTTTGTCACTGGCCCTGTAAATGCCCTCGTCAGAAGCCCAGCTGCCCTCCTGGAGTGAGCTTGCTGAGGGACGGCTGCGGGTGCTGTAAGATCTGTGCCAAACAGCCGGGGGACATCTGCAACGAAGCCGACCTCTGTGACCCCCACAAAGGGCTGTACTGTGACTACTCGGCCGACAGGCCTCGGTTCGAGACCGGAGTGTGCGCGCGTAAGTGTCTCCTGCTCGGACCGCGGGAGACGCTCGAGTCTGGGCGGCAGTTCTTCTCCTGTCGTTGTCCCTGTGGAATAGTCAGCTGAGTTAGGCCACATGTGAGGTGGGTTTCGTTTTCACACACCGGCGGGACCGGCTTTGTCACAGTGGACAGCATGGGACACTGGCAGATGTTTACACGTGGTCAGAACCCCCTGTTATTTATATTGCATTGAAGTGATCTTGTAGTTATTCTTAGGTGATTGCTTTTAGGGAGAACAATAGCAAAGATTATGTAAATCGAGTCTGACTTCTAACAGCGCCACACAGTGACAGCTTTTGATAACTGCGGTCAAACGCAGTCTGAATTTAGCCTTCTCTGTAACTAAAAACTAATCTCGCTTCAGACGTAAGGATGTGTATCTAGTATGCAGACATCCTGCTTCCATCTCAGCCTTTCCAGATAACCAGCAAGTCACTGTACTCTTTAGCTGAAGCAGATGTGTAAAAAGGAAGGTGAGGGGGCTACTCCAAATCACAGCCTGACCCTCAGTTTGAGGGGCTTGTAGCTCTGGAGACACTTTGAGACCCTCTAAATCTACACCTCGACGGCAATTCAGGATCCTGATTTACCTGGGATTAAAATGAAAATTTCCAAGGGAAGAGAAATACGCATGTCAGCTGGACATTTTAGTCAGTCTGTAGGAAAGACTGTGTGGGCAGGCAAATTACTCCCGGAAGTGTGGGTGTGAGCGTGGACCGAATGTGTAGAGCGTTCAGGTTTGATAGCCTGATACCCTGTTTAGTGCTGACTAACGCTGGGTTCCAATTGTGGGCTTTATATGCTGAGTGACCTACGTCATATATACTTCCTACCTTACAGAAATGCCAGGAGGAGCAAATGAAATAAGGATACAAAACCCCAAACACTTAGCAGAATATCTGGTCGGCAGTAGACTCCTAAAAATGTTAGCTATTATTAAAATTTAACAGGGAAAACATGTCCTATCAGACTCTGGCATGACGATACCTCTTTCTCCCAAACGGTGCTGGGCACGTTATTTTATTAACCTAACAAGCACGTAGTGAGCAGCCACTACCACGGCAGGCACTGTGACCAGCAACTGGGGAGAAAACAAAGAAAAAAAATATATATATAGGCCCTGCCCTTACAGAGTCAAAGTTTATTGTGTCAGATCTTTCCACATGTGATGTCACATACAATGTGGTGAGTATTTTAACAGAGGTAGCCATGAAGATGGGGGTGGCGATGACCTCTAACTGGGGTCACAAACTATGGCCCAGGGGCTATATTCGGGCCCAGAGCCTGTTTTTGGAAATAACATTTTATTGGAGCACAGCCACACCATCTAGTTATATGGTCTATGACCGCTTTATGGTCCAGAGCCCAGTAGCTGCGACAAAACCCCAATGGTCTATAAATGCTAAGATATTTACTATTTGGCTCTTTATGGAACATTTTCTGATCTGTGATATAGAACGATGATTTTTAAACTTTGGTCTGAGGACCCCCCCCCTTAGAAATTAATGAAGACCCCAAGAGCTTTTGTTTATGTGGGTTTTCTCTATTGGTATTTAAATGGATTAGAAATTTAAAAATACTAATTCATTTAAAAATAGGAAACTCATTGCAGCTTGGTGGGAATATATTTATGAAAAAATATTTTCCAAAACAAAGGAAAAATTAGAAGAATGAAGTAGGTTTATATTTTTGCACCTCTCTCTAATGTCCAGCTTAATAGAAGATAGATTTCCCCATCTGCTTCTGCTTTCAATCTATTCCTGTATGTTATTTTGGTTGAAATCTATGAAGGGAATCCAGCCTGACACAGATAGGTCATTGGAAAAGGCAGGAATATTTTAACAGAATTTTCAGATAATTGTGAATATTCTTTTTGATATTAAAACTGGAGAAGTGCTAATTTCTTGAAAATTAGCTGCATCATGGACTCTGCAACCGTATCAATGAACTTGTCAAACTGTGACAATAAAATGGTCTATCCAAGACCTACTTGGAAAGGGTCTTTTACTCATACATAATTTTGTAATACCTTGCATTGGTTATTTGGAAAATGCTAGTTTGGAACAATGGTTATGTAGATGTTCCAAATATTGATATACTTAATTATATAATATTTTTAAAAATCACATTAGTTAATACTAATATGATCAGAAAAGTCTGCATATTGGGTAGCTATAAAGAGCTCAGCGGTGGATACAGGTTTTCCAAAATTCTAATTCTGGCTTGAAAGCCTGAATTCTGTCATTGGCCAGAAAGTTGTTTTCCTTGAAGTGACAGGCTCACTGTTGATTTTCAAGGAAACGTCTGCCAAGTGCCTGAGTAATCATGGCTTCTCTGTCAGTCATTTCTTTAGGTGAAATTCCTACTGAAAAAGTGGCTGGTTCAGCCCAAAACTCAAGCAATAGAATAGGTGCTTCTCCTCAAGATGATAGAATATCTATAGAAATGCTCTATGAATACTTCTTATTTTGTCTCACAGGATATTAAAAAGACATATATTTGATGGTTAAGATTTAATAAAGTTAGTAATTCTTACCGTGCTGTCAGGACATTATTAAGTAAAACTAGCTTTTTTTTCCCCCAAAAGTACATTTATGGACAAGTGCAGTGGCAAGGCAAAAATACAGTGATGACCCTGTATGGTCTGCTTCACGCTGAGGTTCCAGCAGCAGTTGTAGCTGCCATTGCTTTTGTACCTTCAGTGCAAATATCAACACAGTGAAAACAGGCACCTCTTAGTATTCTGAGAAAGAGTTTTGACCTTGCAGATGCTCTCGAAAGGGCCTCAGTATTCCCAGGAGACCCAAGGGGTCACACTTCTGAAAACTGTTGATCCAGGTCAAGAATGCCTCTCAGAGGAGTGAAAGTGTCCTCCGATTCTCTTAACGAAAGAAAATAATTAGTTACCCTGGAGTACTGTAATTAAACCAATTATAATTTCTTCAACCATTCATGTCGTCTCATCTCCTACGAATATATCCCTGCCTGTTGTTGGACAGCTGGGGACACCTCTTACCTGCCACCACCCGATCTCTCAGACTTACAGTCGTTACCTCACTGCTATCCTCACAGTGATAGAATAGGGCCTGCATTTGGTCTTAATTCTGAAAGTGACCAACTGGGGCCAGTGGCCTACAATAAAATGAAAATGTCTAATTTTCACCTTTTATAGATGTTCTGAAAAGGAGGTTCCAGATGGGGCCTCAGAAGTTGAGAACGCTACCTCATGAAGGAGATAGCCATTTACTCTGTGGTTTATCATGGGAGGTCTGGACTATCCGTTATGGCTTCTTTGGTGATTTTGCTCTTCTCTCTTTTCAGACCTTATAGCTGTGGGATGCGAGTTCAACGGGGTACATTATCATAATGGCCAAGTCTTTCAGCCCAACCCCCAGTTTAGCTGCCTCTGTGTGAGTGGAGCCATTGGATGCACACCTCTGTTCATACCAAAGCCGGCTGACAGTCACTGCTCTGGGGCTAAAGGTAGAAAGAAGTCTGATCAATCCAACTGTGGCCTGGGACCATTCCAACAGCAGCTTTCAACAACCTACAAAACAATGCCAGGTGCTTAGAGGCATATTTAATTTTCATGTATGGCTTCTCGTGATTTTCTTTCATGTTCCTTTGATGTAACACAGGTACTCAGTAAGCACTTATTGATTAGTGGTAAATGTGAGATTTAGTTTGGCTGTGCCATTACTCAGTCTGCCTCAGAGAGGTATATTCTAAGTATCTCAAAAGGAAACTTCGTAATGTTTTAGATTTTTCCAGTTTTTAAAAGCTCTGCTGGGTCAGAAAAACTCTTCTATGCCTCTGCTCATTCCCACTCAGCCCCTTCTCAGGAAAGTTGGCCAACTATTTATTGTTCACGTGCACCCTGGGAAAAACTTTTACTTGTATTGTTGTATTATGGGCAAGAAGTGCAAACCATCCAGTCCCCAAAATTTTCAAAGGCAACTTTGCTATATGATGAAAGCAGAAATGGAAGCCTACTGATTAAAAATATTTAAGAATATGTTTAGAATTTGTAAATATTGTTTCTAAAAACAGAAAATTGCTGACATAAGATTATCCTCTGGGAATGAGGCTCTCCAGTCACCAACCACTCTCTAAATCAACACACGTACAGGTGTTTTAAAGTAGGTTCCCCAGGTATGTGAGTAGTCAGAAACCTATAATGAGACTCATCACTCATCTTGAGCACCGGCCATTTGCGGTGAGTGTCCATATATGCATAAAGGCTGTACTCTCTTCAGCTCTAAGTTAATATCTTATTTAAGTGCCAGGGCATTTTGGGGACAGGAGTTTCAAAAACACCAACCAATGAAGCACAGATGAGGAAGACTCAGAAGGGTCAGTATTCATGCCTGGTTATTATTCACACCTCTGTGTTTTCAACCAGAAATCAAGAATGCCTTTTTAATGAAATTTAGAGCTTAGGAAATGAAAGGTACCATGGAGATACAGAAGGGATATTCACCTACACTAAAAAATCCTAAGTTCACTTCTGTTATGTGGGTATTTAATAAAAGCACCTATCATTAGAGAAATGAGTTTTAGATATCTAAAAATTAACTCTATGAAAGGAACATTCTCAGAGACTTCCATTAAGCCAATTAATTTGAAAATAATTTAACAGGGTGTGGTGAATTTGCATTTACCATACTTAGTTTTTCAGCTAATAGCAAGACACTACTAATGCTCTAAAACCTCTCAAATTATAAGCCAAACTGTTCTTTTTTTTCAAAATGTACAGGAACAGTTGATTTTCTGCATTGGATCTGAGGGACTCAGTGTGAGTTCTTGGGACCCATGCATGAACCTCACCTTAGCCCAACAGCTTCCACAAGTAAAGCCCTCTGGATCAAGTTCAGTCAGTAGTCTCCTTTGTGGAGGTAGAGCAGTTCCAGATGATTCACTCGGAACCTGGTTGGAGGGGGTGTTAGATGGTCATTCTTAGTGGTTAATGCTTTGCTACAAAAAACGAGAACATCTGCCACTGTGCTCTTGGTAGTTGAGATCATAGGCCTAGATAGGTTTCAGAGGAACTGTATGTTCAGTCTAAAGTCTCTCCTCTGCTTAACTTGGAAGCTGTGTTTATGGGCCCAAACAGAAGTTGGTTTTTAAAATTAAGCACAATGACAAACACACACTTTAAGGTATATTTGTGGTAGTAATTTATATACTTAATTCCAGACAGCCTGTGGTTGGAATCTAGCCTTTGTTTGCTCCGTATGAAGCATGCAGTGACATAATGCCCCTATGCTTTCCTCACTGCTCACCAAATACTAAATAAACTCTTTAAAAGCTCTTCTAGTTTTCTTGCTTTTTAATGAATGTTAAATTCCTGAACTGCAGCTCTTGGCTTAACTTTAAGGGGGTTATTGGTAATATGATAATCTAACCTTCCTTTATTTATTGCAGATGCGTGCCGTGCTTTTAATCTGCTTCCTGCATTGAGGTCTTTAAACTGTTGTCTACCTTCCAGGTATCTTCATGTTTCTGCTTCCTCTCCCTCAGTTCCTTGTGCAATTGCAAGATCCTATTCTAATAACACCGAAAGCAGTAAAGTATCATTTTATTCCAAGACAGCAGATACTTCAAAGTGACTGATACTTCCTATTAAGAAGGCAGTTTTTGTGGGGGTGGGGTGGGGTGGGGTGGGGTGGGGAGTATCTTTTCAGAGTTTTAAATTGGCATTTTGAAGTAATGTAGCCAGTTGCTATGTTCAACTGCAGACTCAAATCACAACCTTATTCCAAGAATCCATTTTGGGATGCATATTAACCTTAAGGAAATACTTTGAGACAATAAACCAATATGTAGTTTGTTTAAAATGAAGCAATGGTCTGATTCATTCATGAGCAGAACAAGAAGCTCCCAGTGGATTTATAAGATGGAAGAATTATTATGCACTCATTGTATTCTCATTATTCATCCCCTTCTCCTCCCTTCTGCTAAGCCGGAATCAGTGGAGGGGGCTCCATCTATCCACCAACTTACCCAGCCACCCAGAGATCTATCCATCTTTTCCTTTGCCATGTCTTTTTCTAGAACTGATTTGAAATGGCTAGCCAATGGAATGAATACAATGGGCCTGATACCATAGTGAATGTAGCAATTAAGCTGAATGAATAAAATAGATTACACATTTGCCATGACTTAGTATATGATTATTTTGATTAGTTCAATGTAATGTAGAGAATTTTCTAAAAGACTAGATTAAAATAAGGGGAGGAAAAATAACTGACCTCAATAGTTTATTCTCAAATATAACTTTTGTATTTTAGATTTTAACATAATATGAAATTTAACATTAAGACATTGTTCTGATTAATATCTTGAACTCCTTAATCCTACTAATGTCTGTTTCATTGTTGAAAAGAATATCCAGCAAGAGGCAAAAACCAGAGAAAACACAGTAGTTTACTCCTTAGATGAGCTAAGCAGAAGCAAATGGATGCATCTACTCAGATTTTCAAAGATATTTTTATTCTTCCTAAGACATTGGACTGTCACATTTGATTGAAAGGTAATTTGGAAAGCGGGAAAAAGAGAATGATGAATTAGACCTTAAGCTTATTTTGTGCTGAGTTACATTACATAAAACGTTCTGATCTATTAAATATTAGCTGAAAAGTAATGATTAAAAGTGGCCTATCGACATGAGTACATATATGTATACCCGTGTACTTTCCCCCCTTTATTTTAGCTTATAGGAATCTCCCACTTGTTTGGAAACGAAAATGTCTTGTGCAAGCAACAAAGTGGACACCTTGCTCCAGAACATGTGGGATGGGAATATCTGATCGGGTCACCAATGAAAATAGCAACTGTGAAATGAGAAAAGAGAGAAGACTGTGTTACATTCAACCTTGTGACAGTAATATATCAAAGAGAGTAAAGGTAACATTTAATTAGATTTAACTTCATTATAATTCAATATTAAGAGACTCCTGAAAAGTGCCCATGTGTTTTAGAGGGATAGATGGTATGTGATTCTTATAAAAATAAAATCACCTCATTTGTAACCCAAACTATCTCAGAGGAGAACAAAGATTAATCTAACTGCACTTCATGGGGAAAATCTTACCAAGCGGAGAGGTAATGTTACCCTGCTGATTCAAGATACTCTAACAACTTAACAGTGTGGGTCTTGATCAGCCTGATTTCTTCTGGTACACCCAACATACATGTTTTTTAAAAGTTGATCCTTTTCAGATTCTTTTAAAAAATATATTAATTTTATGTAGTGGAATCAAGGCAATGGATAAAAGATTTTGGTTGCTACATCGTAATTATAAAAACAGACATTGTGAACATCAGAGAAATTCTGATCTTGGTTATCAAGCTGGAGGGGGAAACCAAGTCCAAAATGCTCTGTGCTTCGATAGTAAACTTGCCAAAGGACTGTGACAAAATATTTACTCTAGACTTGTTTGGTATAACTAGAGCTGGTCTTGCTTCTAGGACAAGGCATGATAACGGTCTCAAGAGTAAGTTTTAGGAATGCTAAAAGGCTTCTCATCTCCACGTTATTCCCTATCATATTAAGAAGTTGACAACTCAATTTTAAAGGGATTAAGATATGTATTCATTTATTTATCCACTCAAAACTGTCTGAGCTGCGTTAGGGAATTTGCTAAGTCTTAGGTAAATAAACATTTAATAAGACATGGCCCTTGATATTAAAAAAGACAGAAATTTTCATTGTGGAAACCGTGGAACTAAGTGAAGAGTGGATAACAGAAAAGACTGGGGAGCGGGTCCTTTATGATGATGGAACAAGAACAGGGAGGACAGATCTCTGGCGAGGGGATTTCGAAGGTAGAAAAGAGAGTGCTGAAAGTCACTAAATGGGAAATATTAATGCCCCAGAAATAATTTATCTCTGTGTTTGTGTTTCTATATAGAGTATCACTTTTCTAAACTGTTGTAACCAAATTAAAGAATGACTTCTTAATGTTACGTACCTTTTCAGATCCCCAAAGGAAAAACATGCCAACCTACTTTCCAACTCCTCAAAGCTGAAAAATTTGTCTTTTCTGGATGCTCAAGCACTCAGAGTTATAAACCCACTTTCTGTGGAGTATGCTTGGATAAGAGATGCTGTGTCCCTAATAAGTCTAAAATGATTACCATTCAATTTGATTGCCCAAACGAAGGGTCATTTAAATGGAAGATGCTGTGGATTACATCTTGTGTATGCCAAAGGAACTGCAGAGATCCAGGAGATATGTTTTCTGACCTCAAGATCCTATAAAACCTAGTATATATGGGAAAAGTTAAGTTCAGGTAATCATGTCATTACATTAGAAAATTAGAGTGGTTTTAAAAGGGTGGCAAATCTACCTTATTGGTTTAAAAAAGGGAAGAATACCTACCTACTCTCAGATGACTCTATTTAAGGCATTAGAAGTTATTAAAAAGGTTCTCTTGGGGCATCCGGGTAGCTCAGTTGTTAAGCGTCTGCCTTCGGCTCAGGTCATGATCCCAGGGTCCTGGAATCGAGCCCCGCATTGAGCCCCACATCAGGCTCCCTGCTCGGCAGGGAAACTGCTTCTCCCTCTCCCACTCCCCCTGCTTGTGTTCCTGCTCTTGGTAGGTCTCTGTCAAATAAATAAATAAAATCTTAAAAAAAAAGTTCTCTTAAAAATACATGTAAAACTTGGTGCAGCTCTTTCTGCTCACAGGTCTTGTCCCTGAGCTTTAATAAAACCTTTTTTGCACCCAAAAAACTATATATATATATATATATATACACATATATATATGTCTTAAAAATCTTAAAAGTGAGCTCTTACTTTAAATGTATAATTATGAAATACACAGATAGTTGCTTCCATCTACATATTCCATACATAATGGAAAAATTATACAATTTATAAGAAAGCATTTTATTCTATAAAATAATCTGTAATACTTTGTTGAAGATGTGTAAAAGTTTAGTAGAACTTTTTTAAAACTTTATTTTTTTTAAAACTTTATCTGTACTTTGACAATGTAGCCAGGATTCCATCAGATGATCATCACTACATGGTGAGCAAGATTCTGGGTTTAATTCTTAAATAAGATAAATTAAACTGCAAATATAATTTCCACTATCCTATCCTGAGTATCAGTTTATTAAGATTTCTTCTGAAAGAAGAAAACAGAACTTCTTTGGCCATTACTGACAACTGTAATCTAAAAGTTTTTATACCAAATACTGTACAAAATGAAGTTTCTAAGATAATTTGGCCATTATTGACAAGTGTAATCTAAAAGTTTTTATACCAAATATTGTAAAAAATGAAATTTCCAAGATAAAGATCAAGAGCAGTATCCTTACTTTGAAAAGGAAAGAAAATAACTTAGCACTAAAGAAAGCAAAGATTATTTTGGCTTGAGAATAAATTGTTCCTAAAAATTACTTCCTTAAGTGATAAATCCGCTTCTGGATTTAAAATATAAATTGTATTTAAAGATAAATTAATGTTAAAACTATAACTGGAGATTATAATAACTGGAACACGTTCACTAGACTATTACAGCCATTTTCCCGTGAAGTTTGGAAGATGTCAAGCTAAGTAATGTTCTGTTTGCTTATATAAATGGTGACAAGCAAAACCAATAATAACAAGCAATACTGTTTAAAAATATGGACATTTATTATTATGAAATCAACTGGTTTAATAAAACATTATATTTAAAGATAATATATATAAATGTTAAAATAAGTGTAATTTTGATTCTTTTGAGTGCAAACGTGGTTACCCAAAGAAACAAAACCTCCTTCATAGTTGTAATAAAACCTATCCTAGAAAAGTTAGTGGGTATTACATAGAAGTATTTATATTGTGTTCTAATACTCCTTGTACTTGCTTTTAAAAAATCAGGAGAATTTAAACAGAATATAAAAAATAAATTATAAATAAATATAAAAATATACCTTGTAAGATTTTTCTTGCATTGTATTAATGCCTAAATAAGAGACTATAAATTATTTTCCTGAAGACACATGTTTGAAGTTAAGGTAGTAGGACTTCACTAATTTCACAGACTGGTATCACCCACAAATTGTGATGAAATGAAAATCTTTTTTGTGATGAAATGAAAATCTTTTTTTTTTTTTTTTAAGACAAAATGCTTTCTAATAGGAAAAGTGCAAACTGGGTTTTCTGAATCACAAAAATTCTGAAACAGAAAAGGTGACAAAATCCAGTGTAAAATTAAGAAAAGTAAAAGTTGTGTCTTGGGGTTTCTTTTTTACACAGCTATGCTTAGTCTAGGAAAATCTTCCACAGGCATGCTTTTCGTGGCATCCAGTTGGTTGTATTCCTCTATGAGCCCTGATAAAGATGACACAGCTTCCATGAAACTGCTTTCTTCCATCCCTTCAATTTGTAGATAGTGATGAAGATGAGCCTATAAATAAAAAACTGGATAACGTTGACCATTTTCAGAAAATTTAATACATAAATAACTATCCTAAAACATAAATAATTCTTTATTAAAGTGATACTTCACTCAGCTTTACAAGAGAAAGGAGAACTCAAATCCCATAAACTCACGAGATTTCTCCTTTAGATAGTCTGAGTAAACCTCTCCTCTTCAGTTATAATCAGTACAGTGAATAGAGCAGTCAGGATTGCCTTTGATTTGTGATAGTGTAATTTGTGAGAAGACATCTTAAATAGCCAAAATAAACACAGATAGTTACAAAGGTGTACTGATAATTACCTTTTTCTTGTAGAGCCTCATGAATCTCTCTTTCAGTTCCATGAAGGTAGGCTTCACGCATGTGTTATTTGCTAGAGCTAATAATGAATGGGAATGGCCCACAGGAGGTACTGAACACAGGCTGGTTTTCCAGCCTTCTTGATTCCAGGAGACAAACTGTAGAGAAGGTTTTAATCTGAGATACAAAAACCCAATGGTGAGAATGAAGGTACTGAATGTATCTGCCATATATGGCAGCAGACATTACTGATGGTACCATTCTAATTGCTCAGTATGTAACATAAGTTACCTACTTTTTACTATTAGCAGTATCATGGTACAGTCTGACAGTGAGCTAAGGGACATTTAGTTAGGAGGACATTAAATCTGGGGATGAAAAAGAGATGACAATATTATAATTAAAAAAAATTATAATTTTCCTTACTTTGTAATTCAATAGAGTAGTTTTCCTAAAAAGACTGTCAAAAAATAGTAAAACATAAACTTAGAAGCAGTGTAGTGGTAGTAATAAAACAGTTAAATTTTCTGAACACTTTCAGAAAATAAAGTATTTCCTATATCATTCACTGTTCAAAAATAACAATTTTGTACCATTATTCTTATTTTACATTTGAGAAAAATAAGGCTAAGTAGTTTGCTCAAGGTCACCCTTTAGTTAAGTGGCAATGCTAGAATTCGAAGAGAGGCCATGTGAACTACTATGCTACACTGTTACAAGTAGTACACATAAATTACCATGAAAATATAAAATCAAACCTTTCAATATTTCTGCGAAGATCTGAAACCTGTACATTTCCTCTAAGCATAAGGGCACAGGCGAGGTAGAGACTATGTTTGGGGTCAGCCCGAATTAGCTGGTGATCTTTACTAAAGGCATCTGAAAACATCTGATCCAACCTAGAACAATGAAAGAATCACTGTTTATACAAAATATTATTTCTTCTATGTAGAACTACAAAGTACAAAGATAGTCACCTACAGGTAAATAAACTTCACATACAAACACCTTCTACACTTCAGCTATCATTTTCTCAAAACAATCTTGATGAGAAATATGAGAAGAGAGGAGGACATCTTTTATCCTTTATTTAGAGAGGAAGAAAAAGGTGCCAACATACGTATATCTATTAATATACAGGATCCTGGGTCTTTAATATAGCCCCAGCCTGGTTCTTAAATCCCACTTAACTCAATACAAATATAATTAGGTTCCCTAGATAACTCTAGATTCTGTGTGCTGAATCTATATCATGTCTGGGAAGAGCTGCAGAAATCACAGTGTTACCTACTCATTCAACAGATATTTACTAAATGCCTTCTATGTGCCAGGCACTACTCTTAAGTGCAAGAGACCCAGCACTGAACAACAAACATTTCTACTTTACTGGAGCTTACATTCGATCTTGGTTATGTGACAGCAAGAAGAATAGAAAACTCCTTTAGGGAATGGTGAGCTGTGGGGTGTTCGTAAATCCTCTGCTACTGTGTTCAAAATTTTGGTGTATATGTGCTTTTGGGCATTTTTATGGAGTTAAGGAAACCCAGAAAAGGATAAGAACCACTATACAACAAGTGGGCAAACTCATTCTTGATTTATCCTCTGCTGCAAAATATAAAAACTAGCAAGGAGCTATGTATAATTTTGGGATACTTATCTTTATTTACATTAGAAATAATGGAATTTCAATAAACATATACACACTTCTCATATGTGCTTATTTTCATGTGATAAAAATGGGATGAGGTACAGGACTGACATTAATAAAAGGTACAACAAAAACCATTCTCACTACTAATAAGATATTAAAGAGTTTTAAAACTGACTTTTAATAGTACAATTTTAAAACAAATTATTTTACTCAAGGATAGATAAACGTGTTCATGTGCTGATATGACAGCCTCTGAAATATCTATAGTACAGCAGAAAAAAAAGGGAAAAAAGAACACAAAGAACACTGTGCCAAGTTCCCTAAGAGTATAAAATCTTTAAAGTCCATTTAAAGATTTTCACAAACACATTTTAAAAATAAACCTTTGTAACAAATTATGATTATATGAATACAAAATGCTGCAACAGTATAATTTTTATCAAAATATGCCAAAAGCAGAATTGAAAGAAGTTTAATTGGCTTTGAAACATTCAGGTTGAAGGACCAAGTCAGACATTTTTTTCTTTATGCTGAACTTAATTAGAAATTCCCTGTCTTTATTTTTTAAGAATTAACTTTAAATGTAAAAATGTCTGGACTATCACTATTGTGCAATAAGTAGTTTAGCACCAATTTACATTCTATGTGTCCACATTTTATTTAAATACACTAATTTTTAATATGCGGGGCTGATAATAACAGTGAACATTTAGTGAATGATTACCATGTTCCACATACAATGCCAGTTGCTTAACTTAAGGTCATCAGCATTCCATGCAGAAAGAGTCCTATCTATTAGTTGGCATAACTGTTTATTTGTTAACAGCTTAAATAAAAGGTAATAGCGCTGTGACATTTACAGTGTAGAATTGTTATTTTGCCAAAATTTAAACTATAGAAAAGATCTTTAATCTGGTTATCATTTACATACTTTCCTCTTACAGAGTTTGACAGGACCTTTTCCCTCAGTCAACTGTGGACGCCAGTGGGACCTTTTCAAGCTTATCACTGTATATGCTCAGAATATTTTTCAACTACATTTTTTTGTTAAGTAGACTAAGTTTTATGCTTATAAATGACACACAGTTACAAAACAAGGTGTTCTGGAAATTATATATAGCAGCTACCATAAACAGTAACACTGGAAAGCCTTCTATGGTGCTGGACTGTGATAAGAGCTTTAAAGATACTCTTATTTAATATACCCAACAAGGGTATGAGGTAAGTCCACCTGCCCAAGGTCCTATAGCTACTGACAGAATTAGCATTCAGACTTAAGTATGTCAGACTTCAAAGCCCTGAAATCTTTTTCAATAAAAACCAAATCTTTATGAATTTCATTAGCTTAAAAATTTAGATTTAATGTCAAATGGTTTAATATTCACTTTTTAAACAACGACTTGTAAAATAAAGGATTCAAAAAATGAAAATGACACAAAGAAAATGACACGAAAAAATACCCAGAGTTACTACAAACTTAAACAAAATTTTTTTTAAAAAAGTAATTCAAATTATCAAGTCATTAGAATAAAGTTACTGCATCTTACCTTCGGGTAGGAATGTTAACATCTGCCAGTGTATATAGAGGTGTTAGGCTTGACACAAGATAATGCAGTTGAGGAAAAGGAACTAAATTCATGCTGATTTCATTAAGGTCCATATTAAGGGACCCTTCAAACCTTGCAGAGCTAAAAAATTAACATTAAAGCAAGAGAAAAAAATTTAATGTTAAAATTTTATACTTTGAATGTAGCTTTATTCAGCAGGCATTCTTAAATCCTTTTGTACACTGTTCTTCAGTAGAGAATATATGCTCCTTTTTTCTGTATTAGTGATATTTAGTATCATGAATATCATGTATAAAGGTAGTTAAAATATAACACACAACATCTATAGCAATTCTTATTTGTGGATTATATGACGTGTAACCAACACACTATCATGTTGCACATTACACATATAAAAATATCTTACTTAAAACAGACTGAGTTAAACACATACAGGTCAATATTTAATAAGTCTATAAACTTCACTAAATTCTTCAAGGGTCTGCCTAATGTGCTCTATAATTTGGAATATAATAATGCCAAAGCAATCCTCTAGATCAAAGTCAAGGATATATTTTGGACCAACTAACAATAAGGAGGTAAACATTAGCTGCTTTAAAAGATGAGGACAGTCTACAGCAAAGAAAATATGCTTACTGTTATCTAACCAAGTTCTCAAGTGTTTATCTGTGACAAACTTTTTTCATTTAACACCTATTAATATTCTCTGGAATGCACCTGGGAAAATGCTTTGTAGTAATAGAAATGAAAGTTCTGGTGTATCACTCCAAGATCTGAAAACGCTAGACAGAATAAAATAAAATAAAATAAAAAGAAGCTCCTGTGACTTAGGAAAACTGAAAAATGCTACCACAAAAATGCTACTGCAAGGATCATCAGAGGCCAAGTGAAGTTTTTAAACTGTCCTAAGTTTTGCAATTAATAGGATTACCTTGTTAGGTTCAGCAGCAAATTGGCCACAATGTTGTTCATTGCATCAAAGGGCTTCTGGTGCCGCTTTTTAACAGCCCCAGCACTTGAAGTAACCAGACTCTTTGGCTTTATAGTTGTGCCCAACTTTCCAGAATTCACCATGAGGTCAATTTTGCTAATGATGTCAAATAAAGACTTTTAAAGGAAAAATATTGGGAGAGAAGCTATTAACAAGAGCAGACATAGATGACATTTTACCAGGAAGGAAAGAAGAGAAAGAAAAACAATTTAAACTTATTTCTCCTCTTAGATAGGAAGGCTGAAAAGTGAAGAGAATGTTTCCTATGCACATATAAGCATAACACAAGACTGAATGTTTAAATACTCATAAATTACAATGTTATTTCTTACTTGGTTGTCAATGGGCAACACACAGTCTGCATGCTCATTAAGTTCCTTCATTGCCAAGATGCTATTGTAAGGTGAGGTTATGACATCATCCTCACCAGAAGGATAAACTGATGTCACGAATCTGTATACTTCTGGGAATTCATCCTCAAGCAACTTTAAAAGAAATGTGCCTAGTCCAGATCCTGTTCCTGAGGATTAAAATTGCAAAAACAAAAACAAAAAAACCCAGCATAAATGATTCAAAATAAAATTGTGAGGAACTTGGAATTTTATGGCTTTTTTGGGTAGGAACATACATTAAAAACCAGAGCATTATATAGAAGACAGTTTTGATTCCATTAAAAATTAAACATAGAAACACATACATATATAAAACCTATAAACGAAAAAGGCAAACTAAGAAAAAAATCTCCAACACATATGATGGACTAAATTTCTTTAATAAAGAGGTCTCACAAATCAACAACCAAAAATACATGAGTAATACAACAGAAAAATGGGTAAAGTATGTAAATATGTAATTCATAATAAATGGTGCATAGAAGTGAGGATGCTCAACTCTTCTTCTAATCAAAGAAATCCAAATTTAAACAATCTAATTTTGAATGTATTAATGTTTTATAATACTGTTAGTGACAAGTGTGGGGAAATAAACCTGTGTATGCATTGTTTCTGATAATATGGATTGGTGAAATAATGCAGGAAACTATTTAATAATATCAATCAAAATTTAAAATGTACATATTCTTTGGTCCCATTTTCCTTTTGGGAATATTACCTATAGCTATAGAGGCATAAATGAGCAGAAATGTTATGTACCAGATGTTCAAGTGGGGACTGTTTGCAATAATAAATACCATAAACAACTTAACATCCACTAATGGAAAATGAACTTCAAAAATTTTTATATATTAACACAATTGAATTCTAGGAGACAGAGAAGATACTGAAAGGCATTTGGGAAAGACATAAAGTGAAAAAATATTGGAATAATATGCATTGCATGATCTTATGTTAAAATACACACACGCACTTTTAAAGGCATAGAAAATATCTGGAAGGATATAGACATAGGCAAACTTGATTACCCGTGAGGAGAGAGACTAGGATTTAGATGTGGGACAGGAGACCATTTTTAACCTTCACTATTATTTATTTTTGCCAGTGAATTATGAGTATAGTCTTCTGAGATTCTGAGTAACAGAGGGATTAAAAAAGGCACCATAATGAACTATAAATCAAATTGGTTTTTTGAAAACTTATCCAAACCTGCAGGTTAATTATATTAGTACAAAGAAAATTTATTTCTTAATTTAATGATTATGATGGTCCTCTAAAGGCATGGTTACATAACAATTATAACTTTAATTTTAAAATGTTATCACATTGAATAATACATATAAAAATCAATTTATAGAACTTGCTGAATATAAAATCTTAATCCGAGCTTGGAGAAAAATAGCATGGCAAATTTTTCTTTTAAAACTCACTAATCCTATTGGAAATTAGCAAAATACGGTATGTTTCTATTTCATAAAACAGAGGAGCAAAATACTTCATTTGCAAGGTACAGGCTTCCCTGGGGAAAGAAAGCAATACAGATCATTTATTCTAGGTCAAGGTAATTACTATGTAAGTAATGATTTAAAGGAGCTGACTAAAAGGATTTCTTTTATCTATATTTCTTATTGGACACAAGAAAGGTTGGGAAGGCAGTTAAAGAGTACTGATATTTCTTAGCAAGGGTACCTATGAACAAACCAGAAACACTTAGCTTCTAGGTGGGATACGAGACTACACAAGCAAACTTTAGGAGAAAGTCAGCATTCCCAGAAAGCTCTCATGTACTGAAATGCAGCTGGAAATTTTAAAAAAGAAACTAAAAGTGGAAGAAGAAAAAACTTCAGATTCAGTTGTACTGACTCTTAAAAGGCCTTCAATTTATAAGCAATGGTAATAGCAACAAAATTTGACAAGAATTTAAAGTAAGAAGCAGTTATATATATACTCAATCACATACAGTGTTAAAAGTTGTACCTTTATTAAGCATAGGTCTGAAAACAGATTACTGTTTGCAAAATGAATTCCCACTTACACTGTCACATTATTACAGGGAAATGAGTGAGTAACTTTACCTCCTCCCATGGAATGTATTATAAAAAAACACTGCAAACAATCACAGTGCTCTGCCGACTTTCTGAGTTTCTCCAAAATCTGTTCTTGATAAAGACTGCCAAAAACTTTGTGCCCCACAGCCCTGAAAAAAAGAATATAAATCACAAAAACACCCTGGCATTTATTACTTCAAGATTTTATTATTTCTGATCTAAATGAAAAGACTACAGAAAACTTGAAAAAGCATTTTTACTATATTAATTCTTGTTTCATATGTATAAATCATATTGTGACATTTCAGAGATACTAGATAGAAAATGTAACAAATATAAAGATCTATAATCCTCAAATATCCTGATAAAATAGCTCATTATCAATGGATATTAAGCTATGGTTTTCTAAATTTATCTTCTCTTTTTTTTTAGGTATAAGACTTTACATAATTTTTTCTCATCTCCATTTAAAATGAACTCTGATCACAGTAAGTTTTACATATTAAAAAGCAGAATGTGGTCAACTAGAAAGACATTAAAAATAAAAAGTTTTGAACTAACATATTGGTTTAATATAGGCGAAAACATTGGTCACACCATGTTTTCATTAGTTGAAATGATACACAATAGAAAACTGATACTCATAAGGCTCTGCAAGCCTTTTTGATTAATCAAATTTGCAAGGAGCCCTTTGATGCATTAAAAATTGATGAGAAAATGAATGAATGACGTCCACGGTTGTGTAACTCAAAAAATTACAGAAAAGGTTACACAATTAGTGAAAAGCCAGTTAAGTGGGCGGTTGAATTCATTTAGTGGCTGGTTCTCCCCAGATGGATTTCTAAGAATGCAAAATGTAAATTCATACTTTAAAGGTTTATTTATTAGAGTCATCTCTACCCTCAACGTGGGGCTCGAACTCATGACCCTGAGATCAAGAGTTGCACGCTCTTCCAACTGAGCCAGCCAGGGACCCAGTAAATTCATGCTTTAGTAAAATGATATTACTACACATTAGGAACCTGAGAGACAGACTACAAATAGATAAAATAGTAAATATTAGACTTGCAAATAATAAGAAGCTACTTAATTTTTAAAAAACAGCAAAAACAGTCTCAATGTAAATTTTCAAATGATCACTGTTAAAGCTTTTTACCCCATTAAGGAGAACAGGTATATAATTTAAGAGCTAAACATAGCCTTAGGCTGAGCTTAAATGCTGGGATACTGGTCTGGCTTGCACCTCTTTATCAGTCCATTCAAGTCTGACCAGCTGGAGAACTTGAGAGAGTCATATAATATAGGTAAGAGAACAGTTTATAAAACTAGTTAAAAATTTGTTACTAGTATTATGTAAGAATCAATTTACAAGGAATTTAGTAAATCCATTTTTCATGATTTTTTCTTAAAAAAAGGTGAGAAAGAACTATGATACAGGTGGCTTTTCAGCATTGAGAAATCCCATCATTCATCCAGGAAAAGATGATGGGCTGAAAAGCCTAGAGGCAGGTCTGGCAGGTTAGATTTTGCTTTCATGTCAGCAGGACCTATTAGAATAAAGGAAAGATCATTCATTTTTTTCAGATGACATTCAATTTTTGCATAGAGCATATTCTCACCAATTATTGCCTGAGCCAGAAATATCAGTGATGAGCTGCTTGCTATCAAACACATCTCTCAATGGTCCCTGCAGAATTTCATTTACTACCCCTTCCTCCATGTCAATCAAGACAGCCTGAGAAAGAAATAAAATTGAATTAGCGTATTTTTCTTTAGAGCTAATAACTCTGTAAATAAATTTATGAACTAAAAGTTGCATTGTTCTTTTTATAGTTTAAGCTTAATCAAATCTTTATGTAGAATCTGTTATATGAATGAAAAAGTTATTTCACTCTGCTCAGGAGGTGGAATACAATTAAAAGGTGGGTTCTAAACTCTTATCCTACTCCGAAATACCATGTGGGTGCAGAGGGAGGAACTGAGTAAGCCCCTCAACTGATTTTCTAACAATTCTTTTATCATGTGCCTATGGGACTGTAAATGTTTTGAGAACAAGGTCTCAGAAATTTAAAAGGTGCCCTAGCCAGAAAAAAATTCTCAATAAATATAGGGTATGTTAATACACTTGCTCACCAGGAACAACCATGCTGCTCTTCATGAATTGCAACCCAAAACTGTCCAATTCAAATCAGTAAACTTACTATCAGGTACAAAACAAGGCCCTGGATAGAAGTCAAAGATGACAATCGGTCTCTACACCCAAGAAAATCTAATTCATTACCGCAAACATTATTGACATGGGAGATAACCTTTATAACTAAGAAGAAAATGAGAATATAAAACATTAAATTAAGTATGGAAAGAAAAATAGAAAAGATTGAAGGGAAACACAGCAAAATGTAGGCAAGGATAGCTTGGCAGTAGGATTATAAAACCCCTACCCTCACTGTTTTGTACTTCCCATCTTTTCTACACTGAGGAAGATAAGTGAAAAGGTAAAATAAATAGTTAAAAAAGCTGAAAAAAGTTCTGAAATAACAGAGTACCCTACAAAGCTATAGACTCTTTGATTCAGTGTCACAGAGCAAGTGCTTGGTTTACAGGCTTTTTTAGTTCTTGTGACCCTGTGACTTTAAGCACTTCCAGTATTCTAAGTGCTTTGTATGTATTACCCCATTTGATCCTCACAACCTTATGCATAGGTACTATAATTACTCCCGCTTTGATCACCCAGCTAGTAGTGATGGAGCAGAGATTCAAACCTGGTTAGTCTGGCTGCAGAATCTTCAGTCTTAACCACCAAACTCTATGCTCTTCTTTTTTGTGTGTGTGTAGTTAACTACGCTACTATAAGCAAGCAATTGAAATAGTCTTACCCAGTATATTAGAAATATTCTATTTCTAACTGTACAATAGTATATCACAGTAGTATATTAGAAAGACTGTAAAATTATGTATTACAAATGTGCTCTCTTATATACAGCAAGCAATATACATACACTTTATGTATACTGGACTATATAGGGTTATTTACTAGCAATTTAGGGTTTTTCTAGGATATTTTATGATAATATGCAGTGTTACCTAGATGTTGACCTTAACACCTAATCAACCATAAGAGAGACTTCACTGTGTGGGCAAACTGTAGTATATTACAAGTTGTGTTAAGATTACAAAAAGAAAAAAAAAATAGCTTATAATGGCCTTGTTCCAAAACAGACTTATTTAAGAGAATTTGTGGAAGATTACCCTCAGTTACCTTGCAGTCTGGCAAAGGAAGGAACAGGCAGAATACAAACTGACATTCAAGCACCTCTTTAAGTCAGTTTTGATAGAATCATCACTGTCATCGTCACTGAGCATTAAAAACGCTGACACGGTATAGAATTTTAATTCTAGTCACATCAAGTCTTTGTTTTTCATTTGGAAATTAACTGAGGAGGAATTATTCTGGGTTCCTCATGCAGCCAACCAAGGTCTGGAGTCACAACTGTTCCAGGATTTGATGTTTATTGTTTTCTGCCAGAGCAACCTGGTGATAGCTTTCTGGTCTTTGAGCTCTCCCTTAAATGTAATATAGGATTTACAAAACTCTGAGTATTTGCCCGTTAACCTAGGATACTGGACACAGTGGAAGGACCTAACCACCAAGTTATCTTGTGAAGCCTAGACTCTTCAGTGATCACAGCCACATAATACCAAGACTCCTAAGGAGAAATGGAAGAGTACCTTCCTAGGACAAGTCAAAGGTGACAGACACACAATGATTTATTCTTTCCCAAAGGCATTTCCTCCACCTCCTACCTTGCTCACTGATAGGGTCCTGGGAAAGAGCTCAAATTAGGAGGGCTCTGGGAAATGTCAATGTCACTTTTTCTGTAAGATTTGGATTGGGATGTTGGCGCTCTCCATAGCAGGCAGGATACCAACTGTTAATCATCTGAACAGCCTACAAGCACATGGTCTCTGCCACTAAATTTTGTTTTCTAAGGACATCAGAGATTACAGATACAAGGAGACAGTTCCGAGATACCACAACATGATTGCTTTTCACTCTTCCAGGCACAATTCCAGGTCTGATCCTTATTGTCTCAATTCCTTCCATCCAAACTGCTTTTCTGTTAAATTTATTGATCTACAACTGGAAAAAGCAGTTTGTTGTAGAGAAACAATCGCGGAAGTGTTGTTGGAATGAGATTATGACTAAATATGGGCTACTGACACAAAGCATTTTTGTTCAAGAGGTCTTACATGGTTATGGTATTCACTGTAACGTGGCTGGATCTGTGCTTTGTACTGGGAATAGTAACTGATGCAAAGAAATGTTCCATTATCTTAACCAACTGAGCCACCCAGGTGCCCGAAATGTTCCATTATCTTCAAATGAAAAATTAACCTGCATTAGTACGTGTTTGAGGCTTAGAATTAAGAAAGCTCCTTTTGTTATCATTTACCCAGATGTGTATTTCCCCTGAAACATTTATAAAAAAATGCTAAAGATAACGGTGTTTTTACTTTAAGCACAAAATTTCCCCCCCAAAGTTCCAGGTAGATATAAATGTCTGCCTAATTATATTTATATTAAAATGTGGCTTAGTAAATATTTTTTAAATTTTAGAAGTTAATAGTTTATTCTGATAGTTACAGAAGTATAGTTATTTTTAAAACACACAGAATATAAGAATCCAAGTATACAGATCTTACTCGTGCTTTCAAAGAACAAATTTTCCCCTTGGAAATACTGCCACCATCACCAACCACTCTGAAAGATAAAAAATGAGAAAAGGTCAAAAGATCTTCCAAGGCTAATGCTACTGTTAGGTAATAAAGTTAATTCCCATTTATGTAATAAAGCTACTTACATGCCTGGTGAGGTAGACACAAAAGGCAACGTAGAAGGTGCCAATCCCATTCTTCTCCCTTGTCTACCCTCCCCTTAGGCTGAAAAGTAAGGTACTTTTTTCCCTGGCTTTTTTATAGTTAGGGCTGGCCATGTAATCCAGTTCTTATTAATGAGATGAAAAGGAGATATTCTGGGAAGCTTTTCTGATAAGGACGACCAGATGCAGTTGGTGCCAACTCTTCCCTCTTCCTACCTTGAACATGAATAAAGATATGATGCATGGAGTGGAGGCTGCCACTTTATAGTTATAAAAAAATAAACATGAGGACAAGAAGCCAACACAATAGGAATAATGAAACGAAAGTACCTTGGTCTTTTAAGGCATTTCTCCAAGGCTAAATCACCTGATTTCCAGATTTCTTTATATGGGATAACTGGATACTTTGTGTAAGCCACCATTAATGAGGTTTCCTATTGTAGCCAAACATACATCAACTGGTATATCAGTTATATATCATTGAGTATCTATGGCTGTTCCTAGAATTTCATGTTGAACTAAAGCAACTACATCTATGACCAAACACAAGGTATGAGTCAATACAATTTACAAGACAATGTATAAAAGGAAGTTGAATTGAGCACAGATGGTGCTATAGATTGGGTTGGTAAACTATGGTCCTTGGGCCAACTCTGACCAGCTGCTTATTTTCCTAAATAAAGTTTTATTCAAACACAGCCATGCCCACTTGATATGCACTAGCAAGCTATACCTGCATTCCTGTTACAACAGCAGAGTCAAACAGATGTGACACAGACCTTATGGTCTGCAAAACCTAAAATATTTACCATCTGGTCCTTTGCAGGAAAGGTTTGTTAACTGCTAGTATAGGTACATTCCTAGTATGCTATTAAAAAGGTATGGTCATTTCCTCAAATAGATATACAAGTATACACAAAAATGTGGTCTTGTTTTTGAAAGGTTTTTTTTGTACTAACATGGAACAGATGCTGGCAGGTGTTGCTAGTACATAGAAAGAAGAGTAAAATGCCAAGACTCATCTCCCCTTTTTGGATAAACTTGGGATTGGGGAAATAAGAATGCCCTCATGTTAAATTATCAAACAGAGTACAGGAGAGTACAGTTATGTAGTCGCCTTATTAAGAAAGACTAGCTCCCTAACTGAGTCTTAACTAAGTAATACTTAATGAAAGGATTGGCCATCAAGAGTAAAGGGGATGAGAGTGGGAATTTACTAAGAAGGGAAGCACATAAAAGGAAGTATTACAAAAGCAAATTTGAGTCTCTTAACAGTATTTAGGGGAGAAATGTTCTAGTTCACAAACAAGAGGGAATCCTAGATAGCAGACATCTCCACATAATAAAGATAAATGACACCAATCATTAAGGCAAAACACCTAACTCCCCTTGGTCTGATTCCATGATCACCAAGCAACCTTCTATTATTTAGCTTTTCAGGGAGATTTCCTACAGAAGAGAAAGTGCTTTTGAAGGGAAAGGAAGATCTGGTGCTCTTGAGTTATGGTTCCTACTATCAATTACTACCTTGACTTTCTGCTTTTTAATCTCCCATTCTCTTTGAGTTTGGTTTATCTGCCTGTACTGGAAAGCAATGTACTCATTCTCAAGATGTTAACAAGTTTTCTGAGTTTTCAAGTCTGAGGGTCAGACTCTGGGATTCACCAAGGAAGTGGAGACTAATTAATTAGCCTTCCCTAGGAGATAACTCACCTTAAATACCCAACCAACTAATTCAAACTAGAACTAGAATTTTTACTGAATTAGATAAAGGTGGATATTCATGATATATTATTTAGTTCAAGTCCACCACAGTTTAGTTTTATTAATTATTTTCAAAATACACAAACTTTATGATTAAACATTAAAAGCTTATGGACATACCTTGAATGTCAAAATTACATTCAGATAAAAGATACATATGCTCTTTATTATATAAACAAAAGCAATTTGACAACTGTTGTTCTCCTTTTTAGCACATTCCATTCACAGAACAAATATTCCTGACTACAGATAGCATCACAGAAGTGTAAAAAATATATTTTTCTTTCAAAAGTTAGTCATTCTTGAATGCATTAACAATATACCCTGAGGGAAACTTTCAGTAGTCCCTCAGTAAAACTTTATTTCAAGGTCATGTTAAAAGAAGGCACATGAGGGCCGCCTGGGTGGCTCAGTTGGTTGTCTGTCTGTCTTCCGCTCAAGTCATGATCCTGGGGTCCTGGGATGAAGCCCCGTGTCGGACTCCCTCCTCATCAGGGAGTCTGTTCTCCCACTCCCACTCGTGCTAGTGCCCGCTCTCTCTCAAATAAATAAAATCTTTAAAAATAAATAAAAATAAGAGAAGGCACACTAAAGGTTCTTTTTGTTCCTTCATATGGTCTTAAAAGGAAACCTGCTGTCCTGCTCTGCAGAATAATATGAGAAATATTAATGATATGGGAATAATGAGAAAAAAAATATGCCTTCAATAATGAGAAAAACAAAAAAGCCAGACTTCTTTATAGTTATCAACTGTTTTATTGTCCTTTGAAGAAGTCTCACCCAATCTGATGACATGAAAAGAATCATGCTACGTGATAGACTTCAATCCCATCTTACCTGGTATCCACATTTCTAAAGAAGCTGCTTATTGCCTCATCATAAATTCCTTTCTAAAAAGAAAAAAGTATATATAACATTTGATTAAATTTTGTCTCTTTCCCAAATGAAATCCTTTCGATTTAATAATCTCACAATACTGTAATGCCTGATATTTGGCTATGAGAACAACAGCAAAAATGCAAGTTATCATAAAGTGCTTAGACTGTTTCTTCCTACCTAAAGAATAAATGCCATAAAACCTATGGATTAAGTTTAGCAGAGGGTGCTGAAGAAAGGAGTCCCCATAGGATTGTAGAACAGGTGCGTCAAACGAGAGCTTTGTCTGGATTCCTGGTGATCATTTTAAAGTTGATTAAATTCAGGAATATAATACCACACATGTTACCTACTTTACAAAGTACTTCCCAATACTATCTCATTGCTCTTCACAAGAATCCTGATAAAAATGAGACCCTGAGAATCAGGGAGACTTAAGACTAAGGTCTTTGGCCAGCGTTTGTTTTAACGCCAACAAAGGTTTAAAAACCAGTTTGTTCTTTCTTGAGAAGATCCCATACACCTTATGCCGGTCAGCTAAAAGGTCAAATGGACTGATTCTTGCTTAGGTGGCGGGGCCGGTACCTGGTTGACCGCGGCATGCTCCCTCAGCGCCAGATCCCAGAAGCAGCAGCCGATCTGGTTTCCGCACTGGCCGACTGCGATCAGCGAGAGGAGGGAAAGAGAGTAGCCATTAGGTGGCAAACAAGGCCGCCTGGCTGCGCGGCGACCGAGTGCCCACCCTTCCGCGCAGCTTACCCTGTACGACCACCGACTGGGTCATGCTGCGGCGCAGCAAACCAAGGTACTAGAGACAGCCCGCGCCCAGTTTCGTACTTCCTTGCAAGCCCCGCCCACCAGCGGCGCGCCTGGAGGAGCCGGGAAGCCGTAAGTCACGCTGCCGCCGCAAGTCACTGCCGTCGCAACGCTCTTCCCTAGAATCAAGCTAAGTTTTTCCGTCAGAAGGGCGCGCAAAGGTACTCGCGTCCCACCGTTACCATAGCGACTGGGCCTCCGGACCGTAGATCCCGCTGCTTGCCAACATCTTTGAGCTTCTGCAGCTCCGGAGGCTGGGGTAACTGCCGGGTAGCTAGGCTTTGGAGTGGGATTTTAAAATGTGTGTCTTCAAAAGTGTTTATGGGCTATCAGAGGTTTAGTTTTTGTTCACAGTCTCAACCCCCTGGGAGGTGGGTCAAATTCCGTTTAATCAGATTCCTCGGGACGCTATGCTTTCGTGCGTCTATCCAACAAGCCCTTTCTTCTAACAGAAAACTGTCGATGAGCAACAAAGAAACCCCAAATAGGCGTGTCAGGCTACAACCAAAACTAGGTAGTTTATACACTTTGACAAAAAAGCGCTTCAGAGACCCAGTCAGTGTTCGTTGAAGCTGGATACTCCCGACATTAACTTCCAGGCCTTCTGGAGTATTCAGAAGAAATCAAGACATATATCCAGCTCCAGGAAGCCTACCATCTAAGATACACACGAAGTACTAAAACAGTTTTTGTCTTACAATATTGTGTGGTGCTGACTGTAAGTTCAGTAGGATTCAGTGGATGAGGATGTAGATCAGTAAATAGAAGTCTAGTGGAAGAGATGAAATTAAAACTAGGCATTTGATTTATGTAAATTAGATGGAAGGAAGAAGACGGAAAAATCAGACATTCCTGAAAATTACCGAGTACCGAAAATTGTCAAACATTGAAAAACACTCTGAACTCTTACTGATCAATTTAGACCAGATTTCAATTAAGAACTCCATCACTTCTTTACTGAAATAATAATTTCCACAAAATTCTGAGGAACTACAAAATCCTAGGAAGGTGGTGGGGGGATGGTGGAGAAAAAACAATTAGGGTTTGTTAGACTCATCTATAGCACATTCAGTACTGGAAGACATTGAAAATATATTGCAGAGTTCTGAGGGGGAATAAAATGTGTCCCAAGGAAATTATACACCCTTGACTTTCCAAGTTGTCATTTGAATATAATTGGAATTTGTGGGGGCTCTATCCATTTTTATTTCTGTTGGCACACTGCGTTTCTGAGCCCATCTCTCTTTCATATAACTTGACTAACACAGCCATAGCAACCAACATTTTACCAACATTGTCTTCTAACCTCTTCCCTTCGAATTCAAGTTCATTAGTAAATAATCTGTCTTCTAGGTTATCGCAAGAATTTTGCAAAGGTCTTTCCCAGTACATTTGCCACGAATAACATAAGTAACTATGCTTTCAGCTTCCAGTAACAGATTTCTTGTCACCTGCTGCCTGACCACTATGCTAATGACTTATATTTTAGATTTTTGTTACGGCAGTTCTTAAGGCTGGACCTAAGTCTGTGTAAGTTATGATAAATTTTGCTGAGTTATGGTTACAACTAACCCCTAAATCTCAGTGGTGTAAAACAATAAAGGTTTATATTTTTGCACATGATCCATGTCTTTGGGAGGTCTCTGTGGTTGTGCTTTATGTTTACCCCACTTTGGCACCCAGGTTGCTGAACTACCACTATTTGGTACATTCTTGGCTTTTGTGGCATAGAGAAAGACAACTCAAGAGGATCTTGCCCTGCAGTTAATGACTGTTGTTAACTCACTGGCCAAAACTAGTCACATGGGCTCTGAGTAATCATAGGGGGCAGGAATTGCAATTTCCAGAAGGCAGAAAGCCAGAAATGTTTGATGAACAACATTTATAAGTATATTATAAGTATTCTTAGACATGGTATCAGAATACAGCATTCCCTCTCCTTGAGTATGGACTAGACCTAGTAACTTCTTTCTTTTTTTTTAATTTAATTTTATTATGTTATGTTAGTCACCATACATTACATCATTAGTTTTTGATGTAGTGTTCCATGATTCATTGTTTGTGTATAACACCCAGTGCTCCATTCAATATGTCCCCTCAATACCCATCAATGGGCTGACCCATCCTCCACCCCCCTCCCCTCTAAAACCCTCGGTTTGTTTCTCAGAGTCCATAGTCTCTCATGGTTTGTCTCCCCCTCCGATTCCCCACCTTCATTTTTCCCTTCCTACTATCTTCTTCTTCTTTTTTTCCTTTTTAACATATAATGTATTATTTGTTTCAGAGGTACAGGTCTGTGATTCATCAGTCTTACATAATTCACAGTGCTTACCATAGCACATACCCTCCCCAATGTCTATCACCCAGCCACCCCATCCCTCCCACACCCCCACCACTCCAGCAACCCTCAGTTTGTTTCTTGAGATTAAGAATTCCTCATATCAGTGAGATCATATGATACTTGTCTTTCTCTGATTGACTTATTTCGCTTAGCATAATACCCTCTAGTTCCATCCACGTCATTGCAAATGGCAAGATTTCATTTTTTTTTGATGGCTGCATAATATTCCATTGTATATATATATACCACATCTTCTTTATCTATTCATCTGTTGATGGACATCTTGGCTCTTTCCACAGTTTGGCTATTGTGGACATTGCTGCTATAAACATTGGGGTGCATGTACCCCTTCGGATCACTACATTTGTATCTTTGGGGTAAATACCCAGTAGTGCAATTGCTGGGTCGTAGGGTAGCTCTATTTTCAAATTTTTGAGGAACCTCCATGCTGTTTTCCAGAGTGGCTGCACCAGCTTGCATTCCCACCAACAGTGTAGGAGGGTTCCCCTTTCTCTGCATCCTTGCCAACATCTGTCGTTTCCTGACTTGTTAATTTTAGCCATTCTGACTGGTGTGAGGTGGTATCTCATTGAGGTTTTGATTTGGATTTCCCTGATGCCAAGCGATGTTGAGCACTTTTTCATGTGTCTGTTGACCATTTGGATGTCTTCTTTGCAGAGATGTCTGTTCATGTCTTCTGCCCATTTCTTGATTTTTCTTGATTGGATTATTTGTTCTTTGGGTGTTGAGTTTGATAAGTTCTTTATAGATTTTGGATACTAGCCCTTTATCTGATATGTGATTTGTGAATATCTTCTCCCATTGTGTCGGCTGTCTTTTGGTTTTGTTGACTGTTTCCTTTGCTGTGCAAAAGCTTTTTATCTTGATGAAATCCCAATAGTTCATTTTTGCCCTTGCTTCCCTTGCCTTTGGCGATGTTTCTAGGAAGAAGTTGCTGCAGCTGAGGTCGAAGAAGTTGCTGCCTGTGTTCTTCTCTAGGATTTTGATGGATTCCTGTCTCACATTTAGGTCTTTCATCCATTTTGAGTCTATTTTTGTGTGTGGTGTAAGGAAATGGTCCAGTTTCATTCTTCTGCATGTGGCTGTCCAATTTTCCCAATGCCATTTGTTGAAGAGACTTTTTTCCCATTGGATGTTCTTTCCTGCTTTGTTGAAGATGAGTTGACCATAGAGTTGAGGGTCCATTTCTGGGGTCTCTATTCTGTTCCATTGATCTATGTGTCTGTTTTTGTGCCAGTACCATACTGTCTTGATGATGACAACTTTGTAATAGAGCTTGAAGTCTGGAATTGGTGATGATGCCA